CCACCAAACCCAGATTCATCATCAGACTGAATGATAGAGAAACTGATTCATCTTTCCAGAGAACACAGTTCCACTGATCCAGAGTCCAGTGGTGATGTGCTTTACACCACTCCAGATGACCCTCAGCTTTGCATATAGTGGTCTTCGATTTGTGTTCAGCTGCTCACGAAGCTCCTGATGCACAGATTTTGTGCTGATGTTGCATCCAGAGGTTGTTTACAGCTCTATAGTGAGTGATGCAAAAGAAGAAAGGGCTACATGCTTCCCCACTCATCAGCCCCACTCTGTGAGTTTGTGTAGTCTACCGCTTTGTGGCTAGGCTGTTGTTGCTCGTAGACAACAAATGTCCATTTAACTGTAATATTAATTTAAGTTGACTGGAGCAGATCAACCAAGGCAGACATCTCGCAAAGTAACTTGTGGCTGAGGTAGCATGCTATGACAGAATCATGTTTAACGTCACTGAGCTCTTCAGCATGACTCATTCTACTGCCATTGTTCGTTTTTTAAGTTTGCATTGCTATGTGCTTGATTTTATACATATACATTTTTTATAACTTATTTAAGAGTAAGATCTATCACAAGATTTGTAGTTGGTGTGCTTCTGTATTAAACTAGGACTTTACATTTGTAGCCTTCTTTAGGCACAGGCGGTCTGTCATAGCAAGCAAATTAACACAGGCGGACAGCGCTAATGCCACTGTGCAAGGTGAACTACTTAACCTTAATAATTGGTTGCTTCAAAATAGCTAAATTAAATGTCCTGGTATTTGACAGGGCATGGTTTAAATATATTGCTTTTACAGCTGAACCTAATGTCAGTCTACAAATTTAATGTTCCCATTCAGCTTGAGTTCTACCTGCTGATTTTAGAATGACAGTGGTAAGCAGGAGGAAGGTGACTGCCACCTGTTTTAATGAGTACAACACGGAAGAATTTGCTTATTTTGACTTCACTCTCAAAAGTGCAACTACCAGTAAGTGGGATTTGCAGTGGAATTATGCACACTTTGTTTGGTGTATTTTGACTAGACAAAGTGATCATGCATGTTTGTGGTTATTTCCCTTGTGCAGGCTTCACAATACCAGCAGCACAATATTAAGGCGCTGACTATTTACAGCCTGGCGCTGTTGGGGGTTTGGTATTTGGTAAGGCATTTTCTTCTTGCGAGCTAACTCAGTGTGTGGACAGGGACTGTGGCTGAATCAATTCGTTTGGTAGCTGGGTAAGGCATTTTGCTAGCGACCTAGTTAGCTAAACACTAGCAAGCTAACTCAGTTTGTGGCCAAGGACGGTGGCTGGATCAATTAGTTTGTAAGCTAAGGCATTATGCTAGTGAGCAAGATGGCTAAATGCTAGTGAGCTAACACCACGTGTGGATGAAAATGGTGGATGGATCAATTAGTTTGGTAGTTAAGGCATTTAGGTAGCAAGCTAGTTAGCTAATACTAGCAAGCTAACTAGGTGTGTGGACAAGGACGGTGGCTGGATCAGCTAGTTTGGTAGCTAGCTAGGCCTTTTGCTAGTGAGCTAATTAGCTAAATTCTAACAAGCTAACTTGGTGTGTAGACGAGGATGGTGGTGGATGGTACAAACATACCACACCAAACTAAATTCAGTTTCCTCGAAACAGGCCCTTTAAAAAAATTTCCTTGGCTGCCTAAGACTGTATGTAGGACTGTAGCACAATAACAGACGTACATATTTGTAGTCTATCTGAAGTGAGTACTTACCTTCATTTTGTAAAAGCAACACTTCACTGTTTTGGTACTAAGGCATGCTTGTTAATTGTAAATGCAGCCAGAAAATTTAGTGGCTTGGTGGTCCAAGTGGCCGGTACAAACCCCTGAGCACATGAGAGATGGGTATATCACACAGTTGAACTATATTGACTAGGCATTTTATGTAGTTCTGAAAATGACTACTAATTCCATTTAAGTGTTATGCCCATGTGCTTTTGTTTTGATCCAGCAAATCTCTCCTTTGAGGGATACCTTAAAATTTGTCCAAACTGGTGAAAACTATTGACCTCTTAGGAGGCACTGGACATTTTGAGGCATTATGGGAATTTCTGAGAAATTACAAACCAAATGTAACTTGTATCTAACAAGCCAATAAGCCTACTTAAAGGCAGCAGGAGTTCAGTGTGGATTTATGAAACAATGGCACAGTGAAATTGTACTGGTGATATCCAAGGGCTTCCTCTTTCATATGGAAAAAGAGGTTTTCAAGCATAATAGGAAAATTATGGGAAATAACTAACCCACTGTACACTATAACTAATGGGTAGAGTAATACAGTTAAAAACAGTAGGAATTCAGTTTGCATTTATCCTGACATGGTACAATAGAAAATGCTGCAGAATGACACTGGTGATAGCAAAGAGCTGAGGGGAAGACTTTCAGAATAGTCTAACAGACACTTCAGGAACACCTCCTTGTTTCTACACTCATTGTCCATTTTATCAGTTCCACTGTCCATATAGTTTCACTCTGTAGTTCTACAGTTACAGACTGTAGTCCATCTGTTTCTCTGATACTTTGTTACCCTGTTCTTCAGTGGTCAGGACCCCCACAGAGCAGGTATTATTTGGGCAGTGGATCATTCTCAGCACTGCAGTCACACTGAATGTAAATTATTCATACCAAAGTAAATCATTTGAATGTCCTTGATGTCCTCGAATTGTTAGCATGGATGCTAGTTAAAAACATTTAGCATAATTCTGTGGTTAAAACTCAACTCTGCTACTGCTGACACTGATACTCAGTTAAGACACTGTCAGCTATTATGAGGCAGTGAATGTCCTGAAGCATGACACACAAACACAGACATGTACAGACACAGGACACCTATCAGACCGGTTCTCCCAATGGGGGATGGGGTGGCACCGCCCACAGAAACGCGCACTAATGTAACACCCTGGAAACAGGTCCTCTGGAACAAAGTTATGTTGCACAGTCTGATTCCTCATCTACACTCCAGTGAAGGGTGGTAACTCTGCAATCTTCCTCAGTCAGGGTGTAAAAGACTCAGTAGAGCTGCTATCCTGAGTTTAATCAGCTCTCCTGGAGTTTAAATATTAGCACTGTTATTTCATGGACTGATACCTTACAGGTGGTGATATTCCTCACTCAGGGTACCAGAAAAGATTCCAGTAACACTGCTTGTTTTACTTTCTACTTTTTGTGTTTCCCTCTTTTTCAGCCCTGTGCCTTTATTTTTGCTTTAATATTGTTTTTATTTATGTAAAGAGCATTTGTTTATTAAATGATATATGTAAGTCTGCTCTGTTCTGATTGGCTGTACTTCTTTCAGCCCAGGCTGCAGCTGTTCTAGAATGTTCTACCCCATTTATACTGTTCTAGATTGATCTTCCTCATTAGACTACAACCAGACAAAGCCCCTGATTCAGCTAGCTAATATAACATAATTTTGTAGCTTAGCTAAATATTTTTACTAAAGAATTCTAACTTTGTATCTAAGGTTCTTATGCTAAGCCATCTGGACAACTGGTTATTGCAGACTGCATGTGCCATGTTGTCTACTATCTGTGTAGTGTAGTAAGGAAGATCTTTCTCTTGGTGGTGCAGTGGGTGTCTGCAGTACACCACAGGTCATTTAAATGAAAAAAAGATATTAATGCTAAAATCTCCAATTAATAACAAATTTAATTAATAAATCCCACTTTAACTTCTGAGTAAAACTGTAACAGTAATGTAAAATAAATTTCTATTTCTTGTTTTCTACTTTTCTACTATATATATATGTAAGACTAATTGTGTGAATGCTTTATTGAAATCTCTTTTAATCCCCACTGTAGACAGCGAGATGGGTTCTATACTGAACTGGAATAATAACTCCAGAGAAGACAGTGTCCTGATTCAGGAGTTTATATTTACTGTAGCATTTCTTGAATGAAAACCGAAAGTAAAGTGTAACAGCAGTGAACCCCTGAACCAGCCAACAAGGTCCATGTTAATCAGTTAATGAAATTAAGTATCTTATGCACATTCATAAATATTCTACATGTTTATTCTGGCTAAAAGTTCTACCTATTAATTCTAGCAGTTATTCTGCAAGGACTCTTAATCTGAAGCTAGTGCTAGTCCGCCTTCTGGGGGGGTACATATCTGTTAGACAGTAAGTATTTTTTTAGTTGGGGCTCAGATGTGTGTGAGTGCAAATGTGAGCTAATGCTTAAGCGAGCTGTTAGCCTAAAGCCTTGCTTTCTGTACAGCGTGGCTGGGGCCTGTAAACACAACATTTGGTGTTCAGTATGAATGACATCTCCAACCCCAGCATGCCCCAGGAGAAGGGGAAAGCCCCCAGTTCATCTCAGAGACTTGTGGAAAGGACTTTTGTAATGGAGTGAGCGAAGTGTGTTTGTGAAATGCTTTGTCATGTTAATTCTGGATTATTTGTTCTACAACATTTCTTAATTATTCTGCTAAGCATTATTTTTGTGAAGGTGGGACAAGCCACAGAACTGTGTTTATACATTCAGTTCAGGAAGTAGCAGGTCAGTCAGAGTGACCAACAAAATCCCTGTTATTTTCGAGTTTTTAATGTCAGTTGTTTAGAGAAAACAACAAATTTAAAATATTGAATAAAAAGCAAAATGTAACATGTGTTTTTTCACCTGTCTTTTTTAATAAGATAATTTCTCAGAAAAGACTGAGCTCTAACAAAGCTGACTATTCATAGATATTTATTTTATAGATTCATAGAGGTTTATTTACTTTAGAACAAGAAAACTAAAGAAAGAGCTAAAATATTTAATTTAGCTCTTTGCTAGAACTCAGGATAACGAACAAACAAACAAACAAACAAACTAATAAATATTCATTCCACATTGCTGTCATAGACAAACAGTAAGAGGCATGCAGCAGCTTGTAATTTTTCCTTTCGATGCAGTGGTGATGTTATGACTGGAATGAGCTCTAACCAGTTTCACCCTTTCTAAAGAAAAGAAAGTTCAGCCAAATTCTGATTCAGTGTGGACTGCCCCAGAGCGTGTTCAGGTCTATAATGTTCTAAAATGCTCCAGTGGGAGAAGATACTCTACTGAAATGGAGATGAAGTGTTTGTGTTGGTTCAGTGATATTTTCTCTTGTAGATCTGCTGTAAATGAACACAGATGAAGGTGGACTTGCGCTTTCTCACTGAAGACGTCTAGACAAACCTCAGAAAAGGTAACCGTACTTTCAGTTTTTGACAGAGAAACAATAGATTTTACTGTAGATTATACATTATATATATTACTATTAGAGTCTTGTTTGTATACAACGCTCGGCATTGCTAACAATAATCTTTATTTTTATAACATTATTAAAAGCATGCTGATTAAAAAGTAATGATACAAATAAGAAAAATAAACAATTAAGAAAATAATTAAAACTCAGAAATAAAGTAATATTCATAAAAATGACAATCACAAAATAAAATAAGAATATGCAAGTATCTGGTTAAATTAGCCAGTTAATGATAATCCAGAGTAAATTAGAAGGTTTTATTCTGTTTGTTAAATGTGAATATCGAGTGTGGGTTATGGACTTTAGAAGGAAGTGAATTCCAGATGCTGGGTGTGTAGGAAAAAAAAAGCAGCTCCACTAGTTTTCTTCAGGTTGTAATGAAACACCTCCAAGAAGCAGTCATAGATCTAAAAATATGCAGTTTGTCAGGATCACTCCACAGCTTCTGCACTATTAATAAGTCATAATGATAAACATGCTAATATTCTACACCATTAATAAATAGTAATGAAAGACATTCTATTATTCTACATCACTAATAAATACTAATGAAAGAATCTGGATTTGTCTAAATAATATGTCCTCCCTATTTTTGGGGTTTGTCTTTATAGAAGTGTTTGATTCACAATCTTTACAGGTTAGTTTACAAAAATTAAATTAATTAATAACTAATGATAAAGTATTAGTAAAAACATATTAGTCCTGTTAGTTACTCATTAACTCTGCAGGTTAGTTTATCATTTTTACTATAAGGGCACAAATACCCTAACTATTGAAGGAGTATTAGTAATACCACATTATTCCTGTTAATTACTCATGCTGAACTATATTGGATACCCTTTCACTTTAATATAGGAGCACAAATACTGTTAAATAATTATGAAATATTAGTATTAACACAATACTCCTGTTAATTACTCATGCTGAACACTAAACACTAAATGAATCTTAATAAAAAACATTATTACTCAGCACTTACATCATCTTGTCAATAATCTGCTCCCAGGTTGAAGCATGCAGGAATTCCAGAAACCAGCTGTGTCTCTATACAGAGCGACCAGTCCCGGGAATACTTTCTTGCATTCAGTAGAGGAGAACATAGCTGTATGAATACAAAAAGTGACAGGTCCATGTGAGACTTTCGTACACTCAGTACTGGAGGAACCACCTTTGTGTTGATAATCAGTGACTAGACCATGGGAGACTCTCATACATTCAGTAGAAGAGAACCCAGCCGCATGTCTGCAAAGAGTGACCGGTCAATTGGAGGCTTTTGTACATTGAGTAGAGGAGAACCCAGCCGCGTGTCTATAAACAGTTATGGTTCCATAGGAGACTCTTATACATTCAATAGAGGAGAACCCAGCCGCGTGTCTGAAAAGAGTGACCGGTCAATTGGAGGCTTTTGTACGTTGAGTAGAGGAGAACCCAGCTGCGTGTCTATAAACAGTTATGGTTCCATAGGATACTCTCATACATTCAATAGAGGAGAACCCAGCCGCGTGTCTATAAACAGTTATGGTTCCATAGGAGACTCTTATACATTCAATAGAGGAGAACCCAGCCGTGTGTCTGCAAAGAGTGACCGGTCAATTGGAGGCTTTTGTACGTTGAGTAGAGGAGAACCCAGCTGCGTGTCTATAAACAGTTATGGTTCCATAGGAGACTCTCATACATTCAATAGAGGAGAACCCAGCCGTGTGTCTGCAAAGAGTGACCGGTCAATTGGAGGCTTTTGTACGTTGAGTAGAGGAGAACCCAGCCATGTATTTATGAAGACTTACCAGTCCATAGAAGGTGGAGAACCCATCCGTGTGTCTATGAAGAGTGACTGCTCCATGCTTGAGCCTCCTGCATTCAGCAGTGGAGGAGGAGAACCCATCCGTTTGTCTATGAATAGTGACTGCTCCATGCTTGAGCCTCCTGCATTCAGCAGTGGAGGAGGAGAACCCAGCCGCGTGTCTATAAACAGTTATGGTTCCATAGAAGACTCTTATACATTCAGTAGAAGAGAACCCAGCTGCGTGTCTGCCAAGAGAGACCGGTCAATTGGAGGCTTTTGTACAGTGAGTAGAGGAGAACCCAGCCATGTATTTATGAAGACTTGCCAGTCCATAGAAGGCGGAGAACCCATCCGTGTGTCTATGAAGAGTGACTGCTCCATGCCTGAGCCTCCTCCATTCAGCAGTGGAGGAGGAGAACCCCTCCGTTTGTCTAAGATTAGTGACTGCTCCATGCCTGAGCCTCCTGCATTCAGCAGTGGAGGAAGACAGTCCAGGTGAGTGTATATGAACAATAACTGTTCCATGTTTGAGCTAGCACACTCCAGTGGAAGAAGGAACCTCTGATTTATGGTAAAAATATAGTACCAGTAAACAACAATTCTGAAAATTAAGCAGGTTGAACACTTCCTGAGTTTTGTGCTCCATGTTATAGATCAGTTTATAAAGCCTTATTTAATTATATTTAAAATTAGCAGGACTAAAAGCCAAAGAGTAGTTTCTCTAGTGTAGATCCATGAAGAGTCACAGTCAATGCCAGAATATTGCCAGAATAAAAGAGGTGAAATTTTAAGAACACAATCATTTATCATTTACATACTATGTAAATATATTACTACTGTTGCACATGTTTTTATTTCCAAATGCATTAAAGCCAAATATCTCTACCATGGACCATTCACTCTTCATAGACCCACAGCTTGGCCCTGTAGAAACTGTTGTTTTGGTCTCAGATCTGCTTTGATTTAACAGGGTCCCAAAAGGAACATAATTTTGCTGCCTGAGCTTTTGCAGAATATCAGAGTATTACAAGCAGGAGCAGAGGAGGGTGTGGAGGATGTAATGCATGTATTATAGCACAAAATTGATTTTACAAATATAGTGAATACACTTTACATGATAATACACTAAGTTTTAAGTTCTGTATACATGTATTTTCAAGATGCAGTTGTAATTGATTAGCTCATTAATAATCAGTTCATTTCTTCCAGAAGAATTTATATCTGACTAAATGCTTTAGAGTTCATACTGGGCCAAAGGCAAATTCACATATACTTCTGTAGAATTTTGTACAAATAGTGTTAATGGTTCCTTAATCCAGTACTAAATGGTGTTTGACCTATCATGTCTATAAGAAAGCACAAATAGATTTGCTTTTATTATAAGGGTTTATAGAATTCTACTGGAAGTTGATCACATATGTCTGCATAAATCCAGAACGGAGAGCTGTCACTGGTTTGCTCCAGACCCCCATCATGTCCCTTCCAACACATGCCACTGGAAATGAGTTGCTTGGGCACAAGAGAACCATTTTATAGAATTTCCCCATTCACTTTCATTCATTTCAAAAAATGTTATTCATTTGGTAAACAATAAATAATAAAATGTGTTAATTCAATCAAAATTTGATGATTTTTTACTGCAACAAAATTTGCTAATACTTTGGTGTTGACTAACAAAAATTAAGTAAATAAGTAAACAAATAATAATTGTATTCATTAATTACTAAGACATAAGTTTTCACTTAATGTATATGATTTCATGTTGGTGGTTTGTTTAAAAAAAATATAAAAGAGGCTTTACTGTTAGAATCACAATCCAGGTTCGTGTTCAATAAACAGGTGTAGGTCAAATCCAAAAAACACATCCAACACAAAAAGACAAACATAACAGAAGGCAGTAAGTCCAAAAAGGGTCAGGCAAAAGACAGAGTCAAAAAACAGGAAAATATGGTCATACACAGGAATGATAATACACACAGAAGAATGCTCAGTAGATCTAGAAAGATACAATACCTCACAAAGAGCTAGTCTAAAGCCCAGGCTTATATATTAAACTATCATGGTCATATGAGACAGGTGAATCAAGTTAGTATTCTGGTGAACGAGAGCACTGATTGGAGTGTGAAGAAAAAAAGTTCAGGAGTCACTTGGGTCATGTGATCTCCCAGAGGATTCTGGGAGATGGAGTCCAAGTGTGTCTCAGAGCCGGAGGGATGCGTGACACGTACATACACAATTAATTTAGCATTTAAGAATTACAGCCAGTTAAAATATTAGGCAGATTTATTAATTTAAACACAACTTATACTATTATATACTAGTATTATATACTATTATATTTTTGTCAATATTTTTTTACATAATTTTTGCAAAATTTTCACATCATACCAGTGGCTGCTCTTTCTATTGTGTGAAAATTCCATGACAAGTAGACAAACGGAAATGCTCCAAAATCACTTGGAATAAAACCTCTTAATGCTAATTTACATTAAAATTGGAGAACATTTTTGTCTTCTTTTGTAAAGTTATATTTTGGAGGTACATGTTTTTATTTGGACAGCAATTATATGCAGTAATATTAACAAATAAGTTAATACAATATTATTTTATATTTCTCTTACTGATGATTTCCTACTTATTACCTACTTAATATTAGCCAGCCATTATTAATGCAATAATGTTCATGTTACCAAATGCATTACTTACCATTAGTCAACACTTGTACAGTGTCACCCATTTTTATGCTGCCAACATTTTTATTACTATAACCCCATTTCCAAATAAAATGTTGGGACGCTGCAAAATATAAATAAAAATAGAATGCAATGGTGTGCAAATCATTTAGACCACAATATTTAATTGAATACAGTAGAAAGACAAAATATCAAATGTGAAAAACTGTGAAATTTTACTGTTTTTTGAAAAACATGTACCCATTTTGAATTTGATGCTGGCAAAAGATTACAAAAAAGTGGGGATGGGACAACAAAAAACTGCTAAGGTTGTGGAATGCAAAACACCTTGTGGAACATCTCACAACTAATTAGGTTAATGGGCAGCTGGTCAGTAACATGATTGGGCATAAAAGAGCATCTCAGAGAGGCGGAGTCTTTCAGAAGTAAAGATGAGGAGGGGTTCACCACTCTGTGAAAGACGGCACCATCAAATAGTGCAACAATTCAAGAATAACGTTTCTCAACATCTACGGTACAGAAGATCATTAAAAGACTCAGAGAATCTGGAGAAATCTCTGTATGTAAGGGTCAAGGCCAAAAGTCAGTGTTTGCTGGCCGTGATCTTGGGCCCTCAGACGGCACTGCATTAGATTAGACATGATTCTGTAGTGAAAATCACTGCATGAGCTCAGAAACACTTCATCACTGCATCCACAGAATGCAAGGTAAAACTGCCATTCAAAAAGAAACACTGCTGCTTTGTATGGGCTTCAGCTCATTTAAGATGGACTGAGGTGAAGTGGAAAAGTGTCCTCTGATCTGATGAATCAACATTTTAAATTCTTTTTGGAAATCATGAACACTGAGCTTGTTATCACTGAACTCTCAGATTGTTATCAGCACACAGTTCATAAACCAGCATCCATGATGATGTTGGGGGGGCATTAGAGCACATGGCATGGGTGATTTGTACATCTGTGATGGCGCCATTAATGCTGAACAATATATATACAGGTTTTGGAGCAACATATGCTGCCATTCAGACAACGTCTTTTTCAAGGCAGGCCTTGTTTGTGTAAGCAAAACAATGCTAAAGCACATTCTGCATGTATTACAGCAGCATGGCTTCATAGTAAAAGAGAGAGTGCTAAACTGATCTGCCCGCAGCCCAGACCTGTCACCCACTGGAAACTTTCGGTGAATTATAAAATTAAAAATATGACAAAGAAGACCCCAAAATGTTGAGCAGCTGAAATCCTGTATCAAGCAAGAATGGGAAAAACTTCACTTTCAAAATTACAGCAGGTGGTATGCAGCACAGTGGTAAACATGCCCAGGTCCAACTTTTTTTTAAATATGTTTCTGGCATCAAATTCAACATGCACATTTTTTTAAAAAAAAAATTATATTTTACAGTTTCAACATTTGATATGTTGCCTTTGTACTATATTCAATTAAATATAGAGTTTAAATGATTTGCATATCATTGTATTCTGTGTTTATTTACATTTTGCACAGTGTCCCAAATTACTTGTTTGTATGTTATTGTCTAGGAATATTCATAATTCAGAGCCTCAGGTAAAGCAAAAAAGCATCTACTAAATTACATAGCTCAAATGTAATAGTACGAATGATGAGACAATTATATTTATTTGTTTTAATGATGTATGTTTTATTGTGTTTGACTCTGATTAGGCAGCTTTCCACAAGAACAGCACTGCAGATAGACACTCTGGAAGATATTTATCAAACATTGGATGATGTCCTTCACAGAGTCTTAGGGAGACACAAAACTAGCATGAAGAAACAATATGAGATTTTATTTGAGGGAATCAAAACAGAAGAGAATAAAACCCTCCTGAACAGGATTTACACACAGCTCTACATCATAGAGGGAGAGAGTGAAGGAGTGAATGAAGAACATGAGGTTCTACAGATGGAGAAAACACCCAGGAGACGCTTTCAAGACTCTCCAATCAACTGCTTAGACATCTTTAAACCTCTACAAGGTCCTGAAGGAGAAACACAAAATAAATTTAAAGCTATAATGCTTAAAGGTCAGAGACAAAAAGAAAAGAATAAAGAAAGAAAAGAACACAAAGAATCAAAACTGCAAAAGCTTAGATCTTTGCTGACTAAAGGCAAGAGAGAAGCTCACTCCATATATAAAGACCGAAAGAAAGATGAAGAATCAAGAGTTCCAGAGCTCAGAGCTGTTCTGACTAAAGGCATCGCTGGAATTGGAAAAACTGTCTCTGTGCAGAAGTTCATTCTGGACTGGGCTGAAGGAAAAGCCAATCAGGATGTAGAGATCATGTTTGTACTTCCGTTCCGGGAGCTGAACCTGATTAAAGATGATCAATACAGTCTTCATGGACTTCTGTGTGACTTCCATCCTGAGCTCAAAGATCTGGACCCAGAGATTTATGATCAGATCAAAGCTGTGTTTATATTTGATGGTCTGGATGAAAGCAGAATTCCACTGAACTTTGAACAGTGTGAGAAAGTCTCTGACATCACCATGACATCATCAGTGGGAGTGTTGATGACAAACCTCATCAAAGGAGAGCTGCTTCCCTCTGCTCTGATCTGGATCACCTCCCGACCAGCAGCAGCCAATCAGATTCCTCCTAAATACATCAACCGTGTGACAGAGATTCAGGGATTCAGTGACCCACAGAAGGAGGAGTACTTCAGGAAGAGGATCAGTGATGAAGACCAAGCCCAGAGAATCATCTCCCACATTAAGGCAGTGAGGAGCCTCCACATCATGTGCCACATTCCAGTCTTCTGCTGGATCTCAGCCACTGTTCTTCAGAGAATCATGAAACAGCCTCATACAGAAATCCCTAAAACTCTGACTGAAATGTACTCACACTTCCTGATCACTCAGACCAACATGAAGAACGAGAAGTATGAGGAGGAAGACGAGAGAGACCCAAAGAACCTGCTGGAGTCCAACAGAACCATGATACTGAAACTGGCTAAACTGGCTTTCAAACAGCTGATGAAAGGCAATGTGATGTTCTATGAAGAGGACCTGAGAGAGAGCAGCATTGATGTCACCGAGGCCTCAGTGTATTCTGGGATTTTCACTGAGATCTTTAGGGAGGAATGTGTGCTTCACCAGAGGAAGGTCTACTGCTTTGTTCATCTGAGCTTTCAGGAGTTCCTGGCTGCTGTTTATGTGTTTCACTGCTATGAGACCAAGAACATGAAGGTGCTGCTGCTTTTTAAACCACACTTCAAACGGTGGTCTGAGAATGCAGTTCCCCTGAATAAAGTGATGAGGGGAGCAGTAGATAAAGCCTTAAAGAGTCAGAATGGACACCTGGATCTTTTCCTCCGTTTCCTGCTGGGCATCTCACTGGAGTCCAATCAGAGACGCCTACAGGGTCTGCTGACACCAACATGGAGCAGCTCAGAGGAAACCAGAGAGTATATCAAAAGATTAATCAAAGGAGAAGATAAACAATATCAAATTTCATCCAACAGATCCATCAATCTGTTCCTCTGTCTGTCTGAAGTGAATGACCAGTCTCTCTCCAGAGAGATTCAGGAGTATCTGCAATTAGAAAAACACTCAGGAGTGAGACTCTCTCCTGGACAGTGTTCAGCACTAGCCTGCATGCTTCTGATCTCAGATGAGGTTCTGGATGAGCTGGACCTGACGAAATACAACACATCAGAGGAGGGTTATAGGAGGCTCATCCCAGCTGTGACTGTCTGCAGGAAAGCTCGGTGAGTATTATATGAAAAGAATACAACATCTATTAACACTTCCATATTAAAAGTTAAGTAGGACTATTATGGAGTTATGAAATAACTAAAGTTTGAGAGGAGAACCATACTTGATGCTCCTTCTCCTACCAGATTTGCTTCATAGAAATTTGAAGTTTTCACATATCACTGCCTCCCTATCTCCCTGATCCTCAGTCCTACCTTGTTTCATCAAGTGGTCTAGCCTTCTACAGTCAAAAAATTACTCTTTGAATTTACTGTTTTTTTTTTTCATCAAAAGGGTTGCATGAAATTAATTTATCTACATTCAGAGATATAATTTGATTTAATTTTCTTATTATCTGTAAGCAATGTCAGCTTAACTATATTTTTGCAGAATTTACCTCAATTTTAATTTTAACTAAATGTAATCATGTTCAATCTATTTAATGATATTATGTAGATTGTTATAAACACAACTTGAGTAAAACTACTCAGTTCAGATGAATGTGAAAATACAATTACTTTGTTTATTAGCTACATCAGTTTGATTACATCACAGAGCATTTATTAGTAATGTAGAATTTCACATGTTAAATCTCCATAAAATATTAATTAAAATATTAAACAAATTAAATAAAATAATAAAACATTAACAAATTTAACTTTAACTAGACGTATTAATGTTCAATCTATTTAACAACTTTATGCAGATCCAAGTTTAAGCTCATTTTCAAATGATTTGTATGACTACACTATAACACTAGTTGTAAGTTGTACAAATAGTACAATGATCATTCAGGGCTTAAATTGAAGTAGACACTTGGGCCAAGACATTCATTCATCTCCAGGCTCTTATTTCCAATATTTAGGATCCATATGAGAACATTAAATACAGAAGAAAATGTAAAAAAAAAAAAAAAAAAAATTGACTGTTATATTTGGGGTTTACAATGTGTGCATGGATGCTGGGAATGAAAAATCAGTCACATTCTACATTTCTTGATTAAGCAGGGTCTTATAAGACAGAGTACAAAATCTAGAGCAGAAACATAAAAGTATTCAGGAGCTATAAAGCATTTTCCACTAGATGTCTACTAGACATCTCCAAATTGTCCTTACCCTCTCCAACCTCCCCAAATACAAAAAATAAGTCTATCACTTGTATTAAGCTTGTACAAGATTTCTTTGGTCTTGTGTGATAGAACAAATGTATTTCCCCTTCAGAGTAATATTAATATTTCTTCCAAGGAATCGATTACCCTATCCAAAATCTAAAAATGTACCCAACACCTCTGCAACATCGCATTTTGGACTTTAAAGAGGCAACAGCTGAACTCCTGGGGTCCTCCTGGGGCAAGAAAAGATGACCAAATGGATAAAATAGGCAACATGAAAACAAATACAAATGACAAACTGTGATGTTAAATAAGGCTAAATATTTATTGCTAAATGTATAATATAGATATCTGAAGTTATCTTACATCCTAAGAACATTTTAAAAGGTGTTTGCCGAGGTGTGCTCCATATGCAAACAATCAGAAATGACGGGGTGTAAGGGTCCAGACTGCGCTGCTGGCTGCCAGCAGAGGGAGACAGCAGCAAGGTGCCCAGCCTGTGCCGCTGGCCGCCAGCAGAGGGCAATGGCAGCAAAGTGCCATAACTTTAGGAAACCCCAATTCCCAGAAGCCCTCGGGCTGATTAGGCCCAACATGACACACCTGTGGACTCCTCTACTTAAGGCTGTGGAAAACAGCAGCCCTTTGTCACATTTTTGTAGAGGGGTGACCGGTACGGTGCACAGCCCAGGTGGGTATTTAAACAAAAAGAAAAGACAAAAAACTAAAATAAAATATTAAAAAAAGCAAAAATAAAAGAGAGCTGGAATAAACAAAAAGAGAGTAATTGCCCCAAAATTACTCAAAAAAAGGCATACAAAAGGTGTTTATTCTAAGTGCAAACAAGTGAATCATAAAGTCTGCCTTCCTGTCATAATTAGAGTGAAATTGTGTCTTTTGTTTTCTCATTTTCTTTTATTTCACGTTTCTAGTTCAGCCTTTGTTTGAGCTGCTTTCAGTGTTTTTCTCTTGGGGTGTTTTACCAATTGTCGCCTGTGCTTCTCACGGACCGCGATTCGAGCCTGGCTCTGGGTCTCCTCATTCCCAACATGACAATTCATGTCCCGTTACCTCAATAAATTTGTTTAACACCTTTTTACGCGGGTTTTCATCTTTGCACTTGGGTCTGCCTCCCTGCTGTCCCGTAACACAAGGTGTATTCAGTATGAGGTTTCTAGCAAACGGTTGCATGAAAATTGGTATGTGGGAAGTTAGTTCTAAGAAATTTGAGTTAGTGTGTTGGCCAGTGTTTATATATAATATTCAACACTATCAATTACTCAAACGGTCTTGGTAGAGGGTGCCTGTGCATAAACAGGTTAAATGTATAATGTGTGCTCAAGACAATGACTATCATGACAAAAGAAAACTTTATTAAGCTACATCAAATGCACACGCATATTAGGATCAACTGAAATACTCATTTGCTTTACCAATATAGAAAAACACTGAATGTTAGGTAATAAAACAAGACTGTAGACAGAATATAATGGTGTAATAGAATAAAATTAGACTATAAGTATATATTCTTGCTGAATACAGATCTGGTCGCTATGGCTCACAACCAACACATTCTCACACAAAAGTTACTTGAATTTTAAGAGAGATGGTGACAAATACAGCCATTCCTGTTTCATGTGATTTCAGCAATGTTCCCAAGTTAATTTTTGGGGAGTTCACTTTAGGGGAGAGCTTTGTACCATCCTTTGGCATGGGGATTTTTTCTGTAGAAATTCATAGTACTATTTCCTCTCATTGTGGTGAGCCATATTCAGCGCATAGATTACTCCAAGCATTACTGTAGTCTGGTGCAATTCATTTGATGTTTCCTAGAGTAATGTCTCCATCAACGACAACCTCAATGTCTTTATATTCTCCAAGAGCTCGACCCTCTTTTTGATGACATAAATGCCCATTTTAGTGTTGTGCTGATCTCCCAAGATGTCTTCACCTTGAATGTCCTACAAATTAAATCTTGTCATACATTCTTAGTCTTTTGTACTACTTGTTCCATAAAAAGTAAGCTCAGCTTATTTCTCATTTACAGTCTTCTAAATACTTGAACTCCTCTAAATACTTGCAGACATTTCCAACAGTTTTTATATTAAATACCATTGCTTATAATGAATCTAAATAGAATCAGCTCCCATCTATATAAAACTCCATTCAATGTTAAAATGCACTTCATGCAATGGATAGTTCTAGTTCATCTTTCTCACATAAGCACCTACAAGCTATAGTCCATGCTAACACGCTAACACATGAACATACCAATGACTCGTTTGGATTTGGATTTACTGGGCAGCTCAACAGTGGAAGTAAGAGACTTCTGGTGATGTCATGATAGGAGTAGCAGCTTGATTCTTTGGCTGGGGGAAGAAACCCTTAAAAAAACTAGCCATATCATTTTTCAAGTCTAATTAATCAATACAAATTGCTAAAAATGAAAACTGCAATGTCCACTTTAAAAAAAGCCGCCAAAAAGAAAGGCAAGGTGAACAAAAAGGAAGATAAACGAGACCATGCAGACGCATCTTCACACATTGGTGAAACAGGTACTGAAGAAAACATGGCGACGGTGCTCACAGAAAAAAACCTACCTTATCCAGGGTGGAGTCCACCCATTGTCGTCAGGTTTTTCGACTATAGAGTTAAGGAAATGATACTCTGACAAACCTAGAAAAAACGAGGGGTGATATACCAAGGACAGAAGGTTTTCTTCGATCAGGACTACATGCCAGATGTACAAAAACACAAGCAGGTAAGGGAGATAATAAAGCAACTCAAAGAGAAAAAGGTGAAAGCCCAGTCGCCGTTCCCTGCCCAGCTAACAGTCCATTTGGAATCCGGTGTGAAGACCTTCATGACCCTCGCAGACACGGCCCCCACTCTTAAGGAGATGGGAATTCATGTTAATGTGGATGATCAGGAGAATCTTCAGAGGGAACTATTGCGTAATTCCTTGGGCTTGATATTGACGTCAAATAGAGCAGGCATATCAACGATGATGAATGTGGAGGTTTTTGTTCAAGGTGAAAAATGAACAGCAAACAGCTTTGAATTAAATTTGGTTGGTTCATGTATATGAGGGGGAAAAAAAACAAAACAATACGGGCTTCCCTTCAGAGGACGTAGGCAAGATAATTTAATTTAATTTAATTTAATTTAATTTAATTTAATTTAATTTCATTTCATTTGATCTTATTTCTCTGTAGCATATAGGCAACTTGAAACACAGCATATTTGCTGTCCGTTAGTTGCAGTAGCACTGCATTTGTCTCCCCGGAGAGACTATAGTCACAACTTTTCTATTATGTTTGCTTGTTTCTACTATTCTAACAGATGTGCAGTCGTAAGCTGTGTCTCAAATACTTCACAGGTGCATTGTGTTAAAATGGAGGTTTGGATTGAGAAAAAAAGTGTGAGATAATATTAACACTTCATATTCAAATAAATAACTTGTCCATAGCCACCTATAATGTCCATGGATTGAATCATCCTGTTAAAAGGAAAAAAAATATATAGTGAGTTAAAGAAACTGCAATGTTCAATTGCATTATTAATTCTGACTGAGGCGCCGAAGGTAAATGCAGCACCATTTAAGGTGGAACGGGAAAATTAGAAAGAGAAGCAACTTCATCTTCGCAACTTTTTAGTGTTTGACAGTCTCTCGTTGCAGATTTAACATATCAGGAAACCAACTATGTTGCTTATAAATGCAAATAAGTCAGTTCATCTCCAAATGTCTTTCTCTTTGCCTTTTTCATTCTATGTTGCACACATCCCATCTTGAAGATATTTTATATATATATATATATATATATATATATATAGGGTGTGTGTGTGTGTGTGTGTGTGTGTGTGTGTGTGTGTGTGTGTGTGTGTGTACTAATCCAAAGTCAC